AGGGAGAATTATGATAAAAGTTTCATCTCTGCTCTTTGGCTGAATCCTCCCGGGGAGACTTTGGGCAGAGAAATATGGAGTTTTGGGACAGGCAGTGTCTGTGCTCATGAATGTACGTCTCTCTCCTTTCAGATGAAGCTGAGTGTTTCTCTGTGTTGAGAAAAAGCATCTGTATCATATTCCACCTTGTGAGAATCCTTTTAATTCTTGTAATTCTTCTTTAGAAACAGGAAGGATATTGTTTAATTCACCCCATGAATTATGGACCTCCTGCTTCTGCTTCTGATGCTGATGTCCCGTCCAGTCTCTGGGAAGCTGAGAACGAAATGCCCGCTGAGTTCAGAGCACCAGGATGGAAAACAACCCCAGAGCTTTTACAGCCCAGGAGACCATCTCATTGGTATATTCATCAGTGGAAATGAAGTGTTGGATATACAGTTGCTTTTCAACATAGCTCCTTCTGTTCAGTTTGTTTACCATAATTCGTAAGTCATTCAGGATGATGGAGTTGCACTCCCTCCATTCTAACACTCTCCTTCTTTTCTGATTTTTATTTTTCATTTATTCCTATATTGGGGGATATGTCTAATTTCCTGAATGATTTTGATTTCCATGGCTTTTCTCTTTTGTCTGATTTTGTGAAAGAGATTCAAAAAAGGGTCTAAAAAAGCTGAAAGGGCTGCAGATTATCTTCCTCTCTCAGTTCAATCTTTAATTTATCACTTGAGTAATGAATTTTATTTAAAGTAGTAGTGGTTGAACCAGTTGTAGTTGCCGTAACTCAGCCCATTTCCATATTTGTGTAACTGATTTTTGGTTTTGGATCAAGGTTGGCTTAAGGCTCAGTAGGCTTCTGGAGGATTATATATTTTAAAAACAGTATTTGTTGTTGCTGTTGATTATAATAACACCTTTTTCACAATAGGAATATTAATGGTTTTGAATATGGTTTACAATTAATTTTCGCCATTCAAATGGTCAACAAGAATTCCCAGTTCCTGCACAATCTCACAATTGGCTACAACATCCATGCCACCCATTTGAGCACCTTCCGCATTTCAAATGCCTTGCTGGATATTC